TGAAATAACAGGGCTAAGGAGCTACTGAATATGTAAAAACAAGAGATATGAAGACTAAAAACCCATTATAAACTGAATGGAAATTTCATTAGAAGATAAAACACATAATGAAAAAAATATATATATGAAGAAATTATAGCTGATAATTTTTCAAAATTAATAAAAGGCATAAATCTCTAGATTCAGGAAAGACAAAAGCGCTAAAGCATGTTTATGAGTTTGAAAAATTATCTTCATATTGCATAGTGAAAAAGCAACTCAAAGATGTCAGTAACATGGAATATAAATCAATTTAAAGCTAAGTTTCTTTTTCTTAGATTTCAGTTATTAAGGAATAACCAATGCACACTAAATACTAAGGGCTGTACTAAACACTAAGATTAGACAGGATAGAAATATAGAAACTCAAACTATAGGGAAATAAACATGTAAATAAACCATATATGTAGACTGTGGTAATTCTCATGTGAGGGACAGTATAGGAATGGAATGAGCCTCAATTAAATCTGTTTTATTTATATTTGTGCTGTTTACATGCCCTTGAAGAGGTGCTGAATATTTCAAATGTTTTATTTCTATCTATTGAGATAAAAATATGATTATTCTCCCGCCCTGGCTGGGTGGTGCAGTTGGTTGAAGTGTCATCCCATTTACCAAAAGGCTGTGGGTTTGATTCCTGGTCAGGGCACATACCTAGGTTTCAGGTTTAATCCCAGTTGATTCCCTGTTGGGGCACAAATGGGAGGCAATTGATTGATGTTTCTCTTGCATCTCTCTCTCTCTCCTCCCCTACCCCCCACTTCCTCTCTTTAAAATCATGAACATATCCTCTGGTAAGGATTAAAAATTATATATGTGATTATTCTCCTATATTCTGTCACCATGGTGAATTATGTTTGATTTTTAAATTTTAAATAAATCTTTATCTGCTATAAACCCACAGAGTCATCATGTAATAATCTTTTTATACATTACTAGATTCTATTAAATTCTGTTAAGAATTTTGCATCTATGTTTATAAAAATATTGGTGTACAGTTTTATTTTCTTGTAATTTTTTGGGTAAGTTTTTAGTGGTAGAAATATGCTAACTTCATAAAATAAATTAGGAATGCCTTGTCTGTTTTATGAAAATTTTAATGTAACACTGGTATTTCTTCTTTAAATGTTTGAATTCAACAAACTTTCTGAGTCACGAGGTTTCTTTATGGGAAGGTTTTATTTTTTTTTATTTTATTTTTTATCCTCACCTGAGGACATTTTCCCATTTTTTTGTTCAGGTAGAGTGGGAGGGAGAGAGAGGAACAGAGAGAGAGAGAGAAACATCGATGTGAAAGGAACACATCAAGTGGCTGCCACCCGGCGCTACCGACCAGGGCCAGGGACAAACTGCAACTGAGGTACGCGCCCTTAGCGGGAACCGAACCCGGGTCTCTCAGGACCGCAGGTCGACGCTCTAACCGCTGAACCAAACTGGCCAGGGCTGGAAAGAGGTTTTATTCATAAAAGAACTATTTACACATTTTACGGAAACCTCAAATGAAGTAACTTGGAGGTAGTAGCAACAGAGCTGTCACCACTTCTAAGCCTTCGTGGTCAAAGAGAGGGAGTTGTTACTGAAACCTGGAATGAGAAACAGTGGTGTAGAATCAAGTCCCTTTGAGAGAGAGGAGCAGTGATCTCTACTTGAAAGCTTGGACAGAACCAGCACATGGCAGTGCCACAAGCTAAATATATTTATAATACTAGTTTTAAATGCCTTTTCTGCTAGTTCCAGTATCTGAGTTATGTGTGGTTCTGTTTCTTTTGATTTGTTGAATTTTTTTAATCCTCACCCAAAGATACAGATTTTTTATTGATTTTTCTTTACTTTGCTTTTCTTTTAGAGAGAGAGAAAAGAAGAGACAGAAAGAAACATGATGTGAGGGAGAAACATCGATCAATTGCCTCCTGCATGCACCCCAACTGGGGATCAAACCCACAACCTACTGGGGAATCAAACCTGCAACCCTTTTGGTGCATGGGACAATGCTCCAGCCAACTGAGCCACCTGGCCAGGGCAATTTGTTGATTTTTATGTGTCTCATTTTCCAAACATATCTCACAATGTTTTATGATTATATATAGATAACGGTGGAGTTTTAATTTATGCAACTATTTTGCTTTGTTTTTATTTCAAAGAGTGTAATTTATTTTCAATGGTTCATGTTAAGGAACCATCGATTCTCTGATTCTTCTTGATTCAGTTTTTTTTGTTTTTGTTTTTTATCCTCACCCGAGGACATTTTTCCATTTTTTGTACAGATAGAGTGGGAGGGAGAGAGAGGAAGAGAGAGAGAGAGAAACATCGATGCGAAAGGGACACATCGAGTGGCTGCCACCTGCACGACCAACCAGGGCCGGGGACAAACTGCAGCCGAAGTATGTGCCCTTAGCGGGAACAGAACCCAGGTCTCTCTGGACCGCAGGCGGACGTTCTAACCGCTGAGCCAAACCGGCCAGGGCTTGATTCAGTTTTGAAAGATTGTATGTGTCTAAGAATTTATCCATTTCATCACATCATCCAATTTGTTGGCATATGGTTTGTAATGTTTTCTTTAAATCCTTTGTATTTTTTTGGTAATCAGTTGTTACTTCCCCTCTTTCACTTCTGATATAATTTATTTGGGTCCTCTGTTTTTTTCTTGATGAGTCTGGTTAAAGATTTGTCAATCTTGTTTATCTTTTCAAAGAACCAGCTCTTGGTTTCATTGATCTTTCATATTGTTTCTTTAGACACTATTTGGTTTATTTCTGCTCTGCTTTTTATTATTTCCTTTCTTCCACTCATATGGGGCTTTGTTTGTTGTTCTTTTTCTAGTTCCTATAAGTGTAAAGTTACATTTTTTATTTGAGATATTTCTTGTTTTTTTGAGGTATGCCTGTAATGTTATGAATTTCTCTCTTAGGATTGTTCTTGCTATGTCCCACAGATTTTAGATTGTTGTGTTCTCATTTTTGTTTGTTTCAAGGCATCTTTTGATATCCTCTTTGATCTCATTGTTAACCCATTCATTGTTTAGTAATATGTTATTTAGCCTCCATTTCTTTGTGTGTTTTTCAGTTTTTTTCCTTGTGGTTGATTTCTAGTTTCATACCATTATGGTCAGAGAAGATATTGATAATGTTTCAATATTCTTAAATCTATTGAGACTTGTTTTGTGTCCTTACATGTTGTCTCTGTATATTGTGCTTTGGCCGGTTTGGTTCAGTGGTTAGAGCATTGGCCTATGGACTGAAGGGTCATAGGTTTGATTCCTGGTCAGGGGCACATACCGGGGTTGCAGATTAGATCCCCAGCCCTGGTTGGGGCCCATGCAGGAGGCAGTCAATCAATGTGTCTGTCACATCTTTGTGTGTGTGTGTGTGTGTGTGTGTCCTTCCCTCCCTTCCACTCTGTCTAAAAATCAGTGGAAAAATATCCTGGGTGAGGCTTTACAAAAAACAAACAAACAACAAAAAAGAATTTATATTCTGCTGATTTTAGGTAAAAAGCTCTGAAGATATTAATTAAAACCATCTGATCTAGTATGTCATTTAAGGTCACCTTTTTTTCTTGCTGATTTTCTCTCTGAAGATCTATTCATTGATGTCAGTGAGGTGTTAAAATGTTCTACCAGGACTGTATTACTGCAAGACTCTCCCTTAATGTCCATTAAGATTTCCTTTACATATGTAGGTGCTCCTTTGTTGGGTGCATAAATGTTTACAAGAGTTATATCCTCCTGTTGGATTGTTTCTTTTATCACTATGCAGTGTCTTTCTTTGTCTTATTATAGCCTTTGATTTAAAGTCTTTTTAGTCAGATTTAAGTGTTGCTACCCCAGCTTTTTTTTTCTCTTTATTTCTATTTGCATGAAACACCCTTTTCCATCTTTTAAATTTTAGTCTGTGTGTATCTTTCATTCTGAGGTTGGTTTCTTGTAGATAGCATATACATGGGTCTTGTTTTCGTATCCATTCTGCTACCTATGTCTTTTGATTGGAGCATTTAAATCATTTACATTTGAAGTGATTATTGATAGATACCATTTTATTTTAACTGTGTTCCTCTGTCGTCGTCATCGTCGTCTTCTTCTTCTTCTACTACTATTACTGAGAAGGCCCTTCAACATTTCTTGTAATACTGGTTTGGTGGTAAACTCCGTTAGCTTTTTCTTGTCTGGGAAGCTCCTTATTTCTCCTTCTGTTTTAAATGATAGCCTTGCTAGGTAAAGTAGTCTTGGTTGCAGGTCCTGCTTTTCATTACTTTGAATATTTCATGCTAATCCCTTCTGGCCTGAAATGTTTCTGTTGAAAAATCAACTGACAGTATTATGTGAACTTCCTTGTAAGTAACTGTCTAAATTTTTCTGTAATGGGAATGCATTTTATAATAGAAAAGTTTGGTGTATATATATATATATATATATATATATATATATATATATTTTAGAAAAGGATATTTTTCAGGTTTATTAAGATAAAATTGACATACAGCACTGTATAATTTTAAGGTATACAGAATAATGACTTGACATACATATACTGTGAAATGATTACCACAATAAATTTAATTAACACCTATCACTCATGTAGTTACAATTTTTTTTTCCTTTGTGATAAAAACTTTTAGTATCTAGTCTTAGCAACTTTCAAATATACCATACAGCAGTAGTAATTATAACCATCATGTACATCCCTAGTACTTATTTATCTTATTATCCTGTACCTTTTGAGCACTTTCATCCAGTTCCCCTACCAACCCACCCCCTGGCTCTGGTAACCACAAATCTGATCTCTCTTTGTGTGTTTGGGTTTTTTTTAGGTTCTACATACAGTATTTGTCTTTCAATGTCTGACTTATTTCATTTAGTATAATGCTCTCAGTGTCCATCCATGTTGTCACAAATGTGGTATACATTATTGTTAAGTGGTTAACTATTTTATTAAAATTCCCCTTCACCCTTTTTCCCATTATAGACAGAGAGTGCATGGGCAGAAGAATACTCTGAAAAGAAGAAAGGGTCTCACAAGCGTTCAGCATCCTGGGGCAGTACAGATCAACTCAAGGAGGTCAGGAAAATGATTCCAATAAAGTGGGTGTGGAAATTTTATCCTGTCATTGGCTAGTTCCTTTAAGTTGTGGGCAGCAAGGATTTGTCAGTTTCCAGTGGGGGTGGAGGGTTGTATCTTTGTTTTGGGGTTTTTTTTTTTGTTCTGTTTAGTTGAAAAATAACAAAGAGTTATGTTGATTGGATAAAGATTTGAATGAAGAAATGTATACATTTATCGGATAGTGTGTTTTTCTGTCGTTAAAAATTGAGAGTCTGTACCTGTTAATATAATATATATCAGATGTACAAACTTTAGTGATAAAACAAGTTCACATTTATGATTTCTATATATAATGATAGTGTTTCTGCAATTCAGTAACCCAGTATAACCAAGTTGATAATGTCCCAATGCTATGATTACCATTTTCTGTGCCTATAAATATAACATTTGCTTTTTACATATAACGTAGAAATAAAACAAAAATCCAGTCCAAGAATAATATGGGATATTGATTAAAATTGCATTTGTTATTTATTTATTTATTTTTTTGTACATGCCCCTAGCAGGAACTGAACCCGGGCCTCTCTGGTTCACAGGCGGACGCTCCAACCATTGAGCCAAACCGGCCAGGGCACATTTGTTATATAAAGACTGTATCTGTGAATGTATTTTGTGGCTTGAATTGATTTTTCAAAACTGTTTAAATTTTGGAGCTGTTGAAGGCTAGGTGTTTGATAAAGAAATCTAAATCTAAATAAAATGTGATTTATAAGGGCAGTGAGAGAGTAATTACCATTATTTTTTAATTCTTTGTGAAAGTTGTAATATAATTTATTCTAAATGCTGAAAACTTCACTTGCTTAGTACTAGGGAGGCTCGAAGGCTCAGAACAATATTGGAACATAATTTTGTTTCTCTTTAAAAGATACGCTCATATGCTAACTGTGTGTATGTGTACATATAAAAATTTTGTACAATAAATCAGATTTTGTAATATGGTTTAAAAATTCAAAACATTTTTTAAGGCTGAATTTTACTGGTTCTTCTTATTAAGCAAGGGTGTTTTATATAGTATGGAAACTCTGATGCATTTGTTATTTTTCCCCTTTTCAGATTGCAAAATTGCGCCAGCAATTGCAGAGAAGTAAACATAGTAGTCGGCATCATCGAGAGAAAGAAAGACAGTCTCCATTCCATGGCAACCATTCAGCCATTAACCAATGTCAGGTAGGATCACAAATACCACAAAATCCAGACAAGGGATTTATTGTTTTGCTAGTGATTTGATAATTTATAGGTAACTGTATAGGACAAAATATCCAAAAGCATATTTGAAACAAGTTAAATACTAAATCACAGCCTGCATTTTTTAAAAAGCAAAAAACAGAATATTAAGTTGACAAAAGCATATTTTCCTTTAGTGATCTGTGACATGACTTCTAGGAGACATAGCTAATTTTCCATATTTTGATTGACCATATTTTTGTCTGTATCAATTTAGTATATTGGAGGCAGAATAATGTAGAGAGACAAGCACTGACTGTGGAACCATACCCTGGACAAGTAATCCATTCTAAGTCTCAGTTTTCTCATCTGAAGATTGAGGATAATAATGATACCTGTCTCATAAAGTATTTTAGTAGGGGAAAACCTTTAGCTGCTTTGTTTCCTTAATAGAACCCTATGAACTATTCTTTTTTTTTTTTTTTATCCTCACCCGAGGACATTTTTCGATATTTTGTTCAGATAGAGTGGGAGGGAGAGAGGGAGAGAGAAATATCGACGTGAAAGCGACACATCGAGTGGTTGCCACCCACACGACCCAACCAGGGCCGGGGACAAACTGCAACCAAGGTACGTGCCCTTAGCGGAACCGAACCCGGGTCTCTCCGGACCGCAGGCCGACGCTCTAACCGCTGAGCCAAACCGGCCAGGGCCCTATGAACTATTCTTGATGGCTCACCCTGGCAGCATTTCTCTTTAACTGAATTGAAATTGGATAGGGTCCCTTGGCAAGGAGAAAGCAAGAAAAAATTTGCCAATCCTTTTTATAGGTTGATAGCTTCTGATGATTGTCAAGTATATGTGGATTGTTTTCTAGAGAAAGTTTGGGTAGAGGGTATATATATATTTTAAACTAATTTTGTCCTAAAATATTGGTACATGGGTCAAATTAGATTTCATAAATTTGTAGTTTGGTAGCTTTTTTCTAAATAAGGTATTAATTATAACATATGAATATACACTATTACATTAAAAAATCTAAACAAACTGGACTTATATCTGGAGAAATAGAAAATATGAACTTGACAAAATAAATGAAAAATTTGTATAGGCTAATAATACCAAAATTGGAATGCTTATTAAAACCAAACACCCTCATTCTCAAAGGCTATAGACCCAGATAGTTTACAGGTGAATTTGCCAATATTCCACTCCCTCTAGTTTATCCATAAATAGTTTATATATATTCCTAAGAGATAAGACCGCTTTTTATACCCAACCCATATTTTTACTTCAAGGAGAATGGAGCTTAAGATTGACTTTTATTGAATTAGTGATGAGTTTTAGGAGTTTATAAGTTTTGAATTGATTTTTTTTTAAATCCTCACCTGAGGACACTTTTTGCATTTATCTTCAGATAGAGTGGGAGGGAGAAAGGGAGGGAGAGATAGAGAGAAACATCGATGTGAAAGAGACACCTCGAGTGGTTGCCACCCACACGACCCCAGCCGGGGCTGGGGACAAACTGCAACCGAGGTATGTGCCCTTAGTGGGAACTGAACCTGGGACTATCTTGGTCCGCCGGCCGACGCTCTAACCGCTAAACCAAACCGGTCAGGGCTGAATTGATTTTTTTTTAAGTTGCATTAAAATCAATAAAGTAGTAGAATTATCTAAAAAAGTTTTTCTTTGCCCTTGCAAATTGAATTTTCTTCATATATATTATAGAATTTGCATAAAGTTCATGTTTATTTAATTCTAACACATCTCTTTGTAGCAAGTGTAAGGACTAGAAAATAGAGTAACTTGAAAAATAAATTCATGCAGCTTGAGTTTTGTACACATAATACACCAAACATCTTGAATACTTGACTTATATTGAGAATTAATAGTCATCCAGAGATCAGGCACATGTGCATCATGATAGCTGTGATGGTAGTATTCATGTTTAATTGATTAAACTTTCATATACGAACATGAGATTAGTATACATTAAGTCATGGGTGTGGCTTTATTTTAGTGAAGTGCCACTTTGAGATATGTATGCTTTTGAGGCCGTTCCTCCATCCATGCAGTATTTATTAAATAAATCTATACTATATAGCTGGTACTGTAGTACTCATTAGGGAGAGGAGTGACAAATGAAAATACTGGGATTTGCCCCCCACCAAGTCTCAGATAGATATAAATAAACAATTAATTGTTACTTAGTGTACTGAGTGTATTGATAGAAAGTTCAGAGTGCTGTAGAAGGGGTATTTGTTTTTGGACTAGTTTTGGATTCATCTAGAAAAGCTTCTTAGAGAAAGTGGTGTCTAAGCTGATCCCTTAAGGATAATAGGATTTATCTAGTCTTCTAGAAGACTGAGAGGAAGGGAGGCAGGGAAGGAGAGAGAGAGAGAAAGAAAAAAAAAACAAAACATCAGTTTGTTGCCTCCTTCGTGTGTCCAGACTGCATATCAAACCCACAGCCCACGTGTGTGCCCTGACCAGGAATAGAACTTACAGCCTTTCAGTGTATGGGAGGACACTCCAACCAACTGAGCCATCTGGCCAGGGCCTTGGCAATTCTTGTTTTATGTTTTAAGTATATTGTCAGGAAACCAAATAATATGGTAATTATATAATCAGTTATTTCTTTTCAAAAGTAACAACTGTGTCAGTGAGAAATATATGTATGTATGTATGTATGTATATATATATTTAAAAATTAGAGATAGGCTTTGGGAAAAAATGATTTGTATTCCTTTATTCCTACTCCCTTCACAGTTTCTCATAGATGTGAATATACTTCCAAAAATCTATCTTGATTGTCTGGGGTTTTGGCTTTAAATTATGTTTCATGTTTACTGAGCTTGGTTACTCACACTTTTTGCAAGGCCTATATTTATTTTGATTTATTTTAGAGTTACTCAGGTCAACTAGAAGTATGTTTAAATCTAGAGAATTAAAAGGTAGTATTAAATCTTTGTTCTCCCCTCTTTACCACTTCTTTTCAAGGCTCCTGTTCCAAAGAGTACACTTATTCCAGTAATTCCCATCACCAAATCAACAGGCTCCCGTTTCCGGAACAGTGTGGAAGGATTGAATCAGGAGATTGAAATAATAATTAAAGAGACAGGGGAAAAGGAAGAACAACTTATAGTAAGTAATCCTTAAACATTAACTCTTCTAATTATTATTATTATTGTTGTTATTAATCCTCACCTGAGGATATTTTTCCATTGACTTTTTATTTTTTTAGTGAGTGAGGGAGGGAGGGAAAGAGAAACATTGATGTGAGAGAGACACATTAATTGGTTGCCTCCCGCACAACCCAATCCAGGGCTGGGGATCAATCAAACCTATAACCCAGGATTGGTCTGAGGCCCAGTGCTCTAACCATTGAGCAAAACTAGCCAGGGTTAACTCTTCTAATTATTAAAAAATTCATAATTTTGTTTTCCATGTTTATTTAGGTTTCTTCCTTCTTGTTGAAAGAGAATGAACATTTTTATCTTTTGAAAAACTTTTACCTTGGCAAATGAATGAAAAGTTTTCATTTCTTTGCATCTCATAGAGACAACTGATGATCCTTGAACAAAAACTATATTTTATTTATCTATTTTTAAAGATCACCAGACAGAGGGGGGAGGGAAAAGTAAATAAGTAAATAAATAAATAGAAATCACCAAACAGGCCCTGGCCAGTTTGGCTCAGCAATTAGAGCGTTAGCCCATGGACCAAAGGGTCGTAGGTTCAATTCCTGGTCAAGTGTTCATACTTGGGTTGCAGGTTCCATCCCTGGCCCCAGTCATGGTCGTGCAGGAGGCAACCAATCTATGTGTCTTTTTCACATCAGCGTTTTTCTCTCTCTCTCCCTCCCTTCATCCCTCCCTTTCACTCTATCAAAAAATCAATGGAAAAATATCGTCGGGTGAGGATTTAAAAAGAAAGATTACTAGACAGGTGATATATTTCTAACTGCTGTAACTCCATTGAACAAAAGTTTAGCTTGCTAATTTGTTGGGGAGGGAGGGATATGACATCAAATACTTCCTAAGCATGAACCTGTTTCTTTTTTTTTTTTTTAATTCTCACCTGGTGGTATGTTTAGAGAGAGGAAGGGGGGGGGAGAAGGAAGGGGAAGAGAGAGAGAAACATGGGTTGGTTGCCTCCCATACAGGCCCTGACCAGGGATCAAACCAGAAACCTAGGTATGTGCCCTGACTGAGACTAAAACCTTCAACCTTTTGGTGCGTGGGACAACACTCCAACCAACTCAGCCACCCAGCCAGGGCTTCTTGTTTCTTATTGTTTGTCACTTACTATTTGGTGTTAGCTATAACATCATGAAGTGCACTTCTGCTTACCTATCATGCACATGAGCATATGCATTGTTCTCCTAACTTTAATACACGTAAGAATGATTTATATGTAAGACAGTGAGAAAATTTCCTGTTTATATTTAAAACCATGTCACAGAGTATATTAAAGCTTCTTTCTTCAGTGAAAGAAGAATTGAGGAGTTTGAGTAGTATTTTATTGATGCTTAAGATCCTCTCCCTTAAGATTAAAGGTTAGTTTAGATTAGAGAAAACACAGATCCCCACACCCTCTCCTCCATACTGTATGATAGGGGAAACTTTCCCTGATGTAATAAATGTAAATGAGCCACAGGTGAACAGGGAGCTGGTTTTCCTAATAAAAGAGCCTCACAAACTTTTTTCAGATTGTTCTCTTTGATTCCCCCCTATAATTAGCACTGTCAGGATTATCCTTTTCCTCCTGTAGGAAGGTTTCTTTGAAAAAACTCAGGGAGAAATGGCAGGGGGAGAAGGTAACAGGGCCTGACATCTGGTATCACTAGTTCCCACAATGGATAACCTTTTCTTTTAATATGGAATCTGGTGTTATAGCTAGATTTCTCATTTTACCATGGCCCTTCTTTATAATTTGTAAAGTAATATTTAGCACATGATAAGTAATTCAGTGCAGTTTATCATTCAGCCAGCATTGACCACCTGTCAGGTGTCAGACCCTAGAAATACAGTCTTTGCCCATGCTGCTTGGTGTCCATTTGGGGAGTCAGATTAGACAGGGATGTCATTAATGGAGTAACACAAAGGCTTCTTTCTCATTAGGCCTAATAAGTAGGGGATTTCTGATTTATGAGTCTTCTGGAACAATCAGGGAAGGTCAACACTGTATGTTTCTGGGTGAATTTCAAAATCAGTGATAAATATGCATATGTTTAAAACTCTTATAACAGCCACAAGATATTCCAGATGGCCATCGTGCACCTCCCCCCCTTGTACAGAGAAGTAGCAGTACACGCAGCATCGACACACAGACCCCCGGCGGGGCAGACAGGGGAAGCAACAACAGCAGCCGCTCTCAGTCTGTGTCCCCCACATCATTCCTCACCATCTCCAATGAAGGTAGTGAAGAGAGTCCTTGTTCAGCTGATGACCTGCTGGTTGATCCTAGAGATAAAGGTACAATGCAGGAGGGATTTGTTACCAGATCATAAGGGAATACCACCTATTTTATCTTTTATTCTATTTTCTAGCAGAACACACACACTTAAGGCCACTAAGGTAATTACTTTGAGATTTTTCAAAACATAGATTGAAAAAAATTGGAGTACAAAACAGTAGGTTTTATTGTGGTGCTTGGGTGATGTTCAAGTTGGGTGGGTTTATGGGCTTTTATTTGTGCCTTTTTCCTTTTGTTTATTTTACTTGTTACTACAAGTTCCTTATTAGTGAGAAACATTGTTTTGGATATAAATGAGGTGAACATTTGTCCTGAAAAGCACTTCATTCTCTGTCACCTTAGTTGTGTTTTTAGTACTTACTACATTTAATTAAATGTGAAATCTTTAACTTAGTGTTTTTTAGTATCTATATTTGTGATATTTCTAGAAAGAATCAAGCTGTTTTATATCAGTGTAAATTGGGTATTCAAGGGAAGCCTGGAGTAAAAGGTTGGAGGGCTACTTACAATATTAAACTATTTATGCAACTTGAAAAATAGCTTGGAGACCTAAGCAATTTGAATATTAATTACTAATATTATTATTAACCTTTTAAAACAAATAAGACCTTTCATCTGTCTATATCAGCGCAATATTTTGTTAGCCTAATTCTAGTTATTGCATATGCTTCAGAGCAATAGTAAGATCTTTATTTGTAAAGTCTACAGCTCAGTTCAGTAGTCATTTATTCAGGACCTCATACTCAAGTGTGTTGAACATCCTAAAGTGTTTCATTGCTACAACTGGCCGATACTACCAGTCACCTAAATTATTGAGACTGTAACACATGCAGAAAACATAAGATTTTCTGAAGAAATCACTTCAAATTGTGGTCCATTGTAAAATGTTATAATTTGGACCCTTCTTTGCCAGCTTCTATGTTAAATAAAACATGGCTCTTCCAGGCTAACACCCCAGACCAATTAAATCACAACCCCTGGGGATTGTAGGATATAGGCACTTGGAGATGTTCCGGTGATTCCAGTGTACACACAAATTTGACATCCGCTCAGTTAAGTCCTTTGATTGGACCATGAGTTTCTTGTCAGGAATCTGTATAATTAACTACTACTTATATTTATTTTGAGGATTAAAAGGGGTAGTGAACGCAAACTGTTTAGCTCAGCTCCTGGAACTTAGTGCCCAATCAACTGTACCCCTCAAAATTTTAAAAACCATGGCTAATAAAATCTTCCCTTTGATAGCATGTCATAAATTTTATGTCCTGCTGTATTGAATTTTAGGAGATTAGTGACTGACTAGCTTCTCTGAATTTCTTTTGTAAGAAAACAGAGTCACAGTGCTACCATCAGCAAGGAATTTGTAGCTTAGCTAACAGAGGCTGAAAATTCAGAACACATATGTAACATACCAAGAATTTTTAAGTTAATGTGGTATAAACTGAGGACACCAGCACTGAACAGGAATACCAGAGTAAGACGTATTCTCTTTGATATAGTTAATTTGGAAAGATTTCAAAAACTGAGCGAGACTTTGAAGACAGTTTTGGAAAATCAGCAGAGAAGGATCTCTTAGATATAGAGAAGTTCATAGGCAAAAAGAGGTCTTTGGCGTACAGTGCACTTATGGCTCTGACTACCTGGAGCAGAGATGGTAACCAGAGGAGCCAAGAAATCAAAGTGAGCAATTCTGAAGGGGGCAGCACAGGAGAGAATGATAAGCAACCACTGAAGGACCATTTCAGTTGTTTGTACTGGGAAGAATGGAAGTGTCATTTGAGTCTGTGTGCTGTGTTTGGAATAAAAATAAATCAGTGAGACAGGCCTAGGCTGTAGTAATTATACAAGGAAAACAAAAATCTTTTGTTTATGCATCTATTTAACAAACATTATCTCCTCTTCACTAGGAATTAGATATTGGGGTGATGTTGATGAGTAAAACACTGTTTCTACCCTCAAGTAGTTCATGGTGTAGGGGGAGGCAAGAACAATTAAAAACAGTGTGACTAGGCATTTATGTAGTAGAATTTCTTAGTAATCCAGCATGTCATTTATTGCAGAGAATGGGAACAACTCTCCTTTGCCCAAATATGCAACCTCACCAAAACCTAACAACAGTTATATGTTCAAAAGGGAACCTCCAGAGGGCTGTGAAAGGGTCAAAGTCTTTGAGGAATGCTCGTAAGTACCCCCCCCCCGAAAAAAAACCAAAAGCTTTTATTATGAGAATTTTCAAATAAGTTGAAGAATAGAGCAGTGATCACCCATGTCAACACTACCTGCATTCTGTAATAACATTTTGCTGTGTTTGTTTTGTCTGCATGTGGTAGTGTTTTTTTTTGGTATGTGCCCCTAGCGGTAACCGAACCCTGGACTCTTTGGTCCGCAGGCGGACACTCCAACCACTGAGCCAAACCAGCCAGGGCTGCATGTGGTAGTGTTTTTGCTGAACTGTTTGAAAGTATGTTGCAGACACCATGACACTTACGCTTAAACACAATTTAATATTTGTTTTCTAGTCTAGCCAGTGTGGTTCAGTGATTGAGCATCAACCCATGCACCAGGTGGTCACTGGTTCAATTCCTGGTCAAGGCATATTCCCAGATTGTGGGCCAAATCCCCAGTGTGGGGCCTGCAGGAGGTGGCCAGTCAATGTTCTCTTTCATCGACGTTTCTATCTCTCTCCCTCTTTTATCCTCTCTCTCTAAAATCAATAAGGAAAATTTTTTTTTAAATTTGTGCCCTGGCTGGTTTGGCTCAGCGGTTAGAGCATTGGCCCGCGGACCAAAGGGTCCCGGGTTTGATTCTGGTCAAGGGCACGTACCTTGGTTGCAGTTTGTCCCTTGTTGGGTCGTGCAGGAGGCAACTTAGTCGATGTGTCTCTCTCACATCGATGTTTCTCTCTTTCCCTCCCTCCCTCCCACTCAATCTGATGATAAATGTAAAAATATCCTCGGGTGAGGATTAAAAAAAAAACTACATAACCACAATACCATTATCACACCAAAGAAAATTAACAGTAATGCTTAATGTCAACTAATATCCAGTTATTCACATTTTCTCAGTTCTTTCCAATGTATCATCTCTGCTATTTTTTTTTAATATTTTTACTTTATTGATTTTAGAGAGAGGAAGGGAGAGGAGAGAGAGAAACATCGATGAGAGAGAACATCGACTGGCAGCCTCCTGCATGCCCCCCTACTTGGGATCAGGCCCGCAACCTGGGCATGTGCCCTGACTGGGAATCAAACCAGCAATCTCTTGGTGCATGGGTCGACGCTCCGCCACTGAGCCATACTAGCTGGGCATATGGCTGTTATTTTTTAATTTAGCAATATATTTATTCAAGATAGACCATAGATCTCACCAAGTGTGGTTTCCTTCTTTCAAGATTCAAATCCCCTTTGATTTTTATCTACTCCTGGTCTTCAGTTCTTACAAGTTTTAAAAATTATTTTGTCTGCCAATATAGAAAACAGAATTATGTTACTTTGCAGAATCATGTTACTGTGATGAAGATAATAAGAAGTAGAATTTTCAACAGTGTCTGGTACTTTTGGCATATGATCTCCTGTGCTCATATACTTCTGTTGGCTGGTACTCTCATCAAGTACTCCAATTTTAGACTCAAAATTGCTCAGAAATTATTGCAGCCTTGGGTTTGCAGTAGCTGACTTCAATGTGGATATTATCCAACCTTGTTTAATTCACATAATTTATCTTTTTCCCCCATTATGAACATCTTGGAATCATTTTGAAATATGATATTCTTTTGTTCCTTTATGTGACCTTCCTGTCAGTGCTTCTTTTAACATACATTTTTAATAATTTGCCACACAAAGACATTGTATTTGTTTGAATCCCTTCAATTTCTCTACTAGGAAATCCCAGCTGTTAATCTCCTATCTGCTTTTGTGACAGTAATTGAAAACTGTTTTATTAACTGCTTATTTTGTTTTTCACCATGTCAGTCTAAAAGCTTGACTGGTGCCAGCTGAGGGTTTAAGCAGTATTTCTTCAAATGTGTTTCTTGGGTCCCTGCAATCATCCAGTGTATTAGTTGAAACTGCAGGTTCTTAGGCCCCATCCCAGGTCTATAGAGTAAATATGGCATCCTTAACAAATACCTCATATGATTTTTATGCCCAGTTTGAAAATGCTGGCTTGGAGTTTTTTATGAAAGTTCTTAAGGTATAGTCATTCTATTAAATAAAAATCGAATGGTCAAAATGGACCTTTTCGAAGTTGAGCTCTTTGATTTACTCACTGGTAGTTAAGATTTGCTTAAGTGCAGAGAAATGGTTGATTGACTCAAAAGCAATTTGAATTTCTTTTATAAATGCCTTTGAGTGAGTATCTGTTGTGTAGGTTGTGTCCTATGGAATCTGCCTTAGACTATTGTATTGCATTTGGAAATTTTGTCAAGACTCAATATTTGAGCTATATACTCCTACAGTTTTTGTATCTAAAGGGAGGGAAGAAAGCACAGGGCTGTGTGTGTGTGTGTGTGTGTGTGTGTGTGTGTGTGGTGTATGTTGTATGTATGTATGGATAAATATAGATAAAAGAAACATAAGGTAAACCCTAATACATGTTTTATGGCCTATCCATATGTTACTAGAAGGTAAGCCTATTCTTTTTTCTTTTTAATGTTTTTATTGATTTTTTTAGAGAGAGAGGAAGGGGGAGAGAGATGGAAACATCGATGAGAGAGAGAAACATCTATTGGCTGCCTCCTGCATGCCCCACCCCACCCCACCCCTCGCATAGGTGATCAAGCCTTTAACCCGGGCATGTGCCCAGATCAGGAATCAAACCCCGGGACCTCTCAGTCCATGGGACAATGCTCAATCCACTGAGCTACACCAGCTGGGCAAACCTATTCTTTTGAAAATGTACATAGTTTATTATACATTTTACTGATAATATAAAGGATTTGTAGCACACAAAAACCTATTCATTAAAAAAAAATTTTTATTACGTTCCAAAAACAAATTAACAGCAGTAACCCAAGAATGGATTACTTAGAAGTAATTTTAACTTTTTATCAATAAAACAAATAATTGGCCCTGGCAGATGTGGCTTGGTTGATTGAACGTCGTCCCATGCACCAGAAGGTTGCCAGTTCAATTCCAGGTCAAGGGACATGCCTAGGTTGTGGGCTTGATTCTCGATAGGGAGTGTGCAAGAGACAGTCGATAGATGTTTCCTCTCCTGCTTCCTTCCTCTCTCTCTAAAAATCAATAAAAATATATATATTTTTTTCAATTTATTGATTTAGAGAGAGAGGAAGAGAGAGGGATAGAGAGAGAAACATCAATGAGAGAGAACATCGATGGCCACCTCCTGCATGCCCCACACTGGGGATTGGGTCCACAACTTGGGCATGTGCCCTGACCAGGGATCAAACTGGCAACTTCTTGGTGCATGGGTTGACGCTGAACCACTGAGCCACGCCGGTCAGCCTAAAAATATTAGTTAAAGAAACATCTGTAACAAAAATAAATAAATTAAAAAAAAATATATATATATATATATAACTCAAAGTGAAAAAATTGATCTCTTTTTGCACTAGCTATATTAAAATTAGAGCAAAGCCCACTGGATTCACGGCTTTAAAGCAAAAGTCAATTATTGGTCCTAATTAAAAACTTTTTGCTTATTTAGTTATTCTGTAAAGAATACTTTTCTCATCCGGCCAGTGTGGCTCAGTGGTTGAGCATGACCCATGCACCAAGAGGTGGCCGGTTTGATCCCCAGTCAAGACATACGCCCCGGTTTTGGGCCCGATCCCCAGTGGGGGGCATGCAGAAAGCGGCCAATCAATGTTCTCTCTCATTGATGTTTCTCTCTCTCTCTCTTTCCCTTCCTCTCTCTAAAATCATTAAAGGGAAAAAATTTTTTTAAAGAATACTTTTCTAAGTCTTACTTTTGGTTTAAGGGAAGTAACTCTGACTTGAACTAGAGGTTGAAGTGGAGTGAGAGTTGTTCTCTGGTTTCTAGAAATGTATGTTTATTTACCTGAAAGAAAATAGGTAGGTGGATTTGGTCCAGAAAGGGCAAGACCAGATTTTGCACTTGTTTTTGTCTCTACATTCTGTTCGATACACACATACCATGGCCATGCCACTTGCACTTACTCCTTTTTAGTGAAGACATACATGCTGTTTTCTGATCCCAGCTAATGAACTCAATCTTAGTTACCTTAGGTTCCTAGATATTATGGTTTCTTTGCAGTATAAAGGTATTTTAAAAAATATTATATGACCCATCCTTTCTTCCTCTCTTTCTCCCTCACTCCTTCCCATTATAAGTAACGTTGATCACCATTTTCTTCACTGATAATTTATGCCTGAATTTAAAAAGAAAAAAATTACATAAGCCTTTTAAAAATGATACCAAAGAATTCCTTGCATCAATGTGAAAATACCTGTAATCTTCCAGCCTGTTCATCAGTTTTCCACAAAGTCAGCTAACAAAGAGTTATATTTATTTAGATACACAATCCTTTTGGAATAACCTTTTAAGGAAAAATAACATTTTAAAACTATTTCTGAGATTTTTTTTTTTTTTTTGTAGTTCTGGTTCTTAAGTTGAAGAAAGCTTCGATATAATATTAGTACTTACAGCTTCTATTAGCATAACTCATCTACCCCAGGGGTGGGAGTGTGTTTCTTGGGTAATACGCTTCTAGAAGTTAAATGTTAGTGGTCAGGAATGGTTAGGGTAGTGACTGGAAGAGGAAATAAGGAGAGGGGTTTTTTGGTGCTTTTTACTGTTAATGTTCTATTTCTTGATCTGGATGCTAGTTAGACAAAGTTACTGTTTATATTATTTTGTGTAAACATTTTCATAAGTGTTTTCATGAAAGCAGCAAGGAAATTAAGCTTTTTCGGTCAGTCAAGAAGTTCATTTGTAGTTCAGAAATGTAAAGTTTCGTCCTCAAGATCCATTAGGACATGTCTTAAGTCAATTTTTTTAGTTACTCTTTTTTTGTTTTACTCCTCACCCGAGGATATGTTTTCTATTTTAGAGAAAGAGGAAGGGAGAGAGAACAAAACATCAGTTGCCTCTCGCACATTCCTTCCAATCCGAGATGGAACCATGGAACCAGCAACCTAGGTATATGCCTTGACTGGAATTGAACTGGTGACCTCCAGTGCACGGGCCAATGCTCCAACCAACTGAGCCACACTGGCCAGGGCTAGGGATGTCTTAAGTCATTTAAAGAATATAACCTCAGCCCTGGTGTTGTCCCATACACCAGAAAGGTGGGGGTTTGATTCTGGTCAGGGCACATACCCAGGTCATGGGTTCCATCCCCGGTAAGGGCATGTGTGGGAGGCAACCAATCTCAATGGTTCTCTCTCACATTGATAATTTTCTCTCTCTCTGTCTCCCCTCCTCTTTCTAAAAGCAATAAAAAAATAAAATTTAAATTTAAATAAAAAAAAAGAGAGAGATAACTTCAAACAATTAAAAATCTAGGACTCATTTGGAGGAGGGTGTAAAAATTGATTATGCTCCCCTGGACTCCAATATAAGAAAGTTATCTCTAATGATTCTTTACAAGAAAACTCAGGCATATTTAATTTCCTGTCTTTTTTAAGTGATTGAAAACCATATAAGGCAGTGTGTCCCCTTATCAGAAGTATATCCACATACATTTGTGGGCCTAAAAGTACTCGACCAGTTACGTTTATGTTGTATTTCAAGGCAGAATAGTGTACAAATAAAATAATTTATATGATGTAATTTCTGGCCTGGCCAGTTTTGCTCAAGGGTTAAAGCATTGGCTTGCCGACTGGAGGGTTGTGGGTTCGATTTCTGGTCAAAGGCACGTACCTGGGTTGCAGGTTCCATCCCTGGCCCTGGTTGTGGTCGTGCAGGAGGCAACCTGTCAATGTGTCTCTCTCATATCAATGTTTCTTTCTCCCTACCTCACTGCCACTCTATCTAAAAATCAATAGAAAAATATCCTCGGGTGAGGATTTACAAAAATAAATGGTACAATCTCTTTTCTTAAGTTAATAATATATTACATGTAACCCAATGTATCAGATGTATTGTCATTTCAACATGTAGTCAATATAAAACATTATTCATGAGATATGTTACATTCCTTCTATGAACCAGGTTGTCAGAATCTGGTGTGTTTTACACACTGGTGGCATCTCTCAATTCTGAGTAGCCGCATTTCCCATGTTCAATAGCCACGTGGAATTTATGACCACTCTAGTGGACAGTACAGATCTAGACCCTTCCAAGGCAAGGCCTGGGGCTAGTATCTCCATAGATCCCACACAGGGAGAGGGAATTGTCATCTGTTGAGCACTTACTGTGTGCCAGGCCTGGGATTTCTGTCATGAAATACCAATGACAAGGCTAGGAGGTAGGAGGTGTTGAACCCATCTCATAGCTGAGACACCTGAGGCTCAAAGAGGTGAAGTGACTGGGCTGAAGTCACACAGTGGCTAGAACCAAAGTCCACTGCCCCAGGCCTCTGCTGCTGGAGCCCTCAGGTGGAGGCTCAGGCTGCGAGAGGACCAGCTAGGTGGCAGCTGGAGCTTGGCCTGTCCCCATGAGCCCCACTCCCTCATGTAATATCTTTATTCCTAAATTTTTTTTTTTCCAAAGCTATTTATGTGTAGTAGTCAGTTGGTAAAATCTGCCCACCCAAAGCATTGTCTGCTTGAAACTCTTTTTTCTTTTTGCACCCACTCCCCAGGTCTGTTTATTTATTCTTTAAATCCCAACTCAGATGTGACTTCCTTTGGAAGGCTTCTTCTTAAACTCTCCCTCTTCCTTTGTGCCACTGGTTATCTACTCCCTGTGCTACTTTCAAACCTTTTACAAGCCATTTTATCACATCTGTCAGACCCTCTTGCAGGAGTTCTTTATCGTTTTTGTGCTATGGACACCTGTGGCAGCCTGTTAAAGCTTATGGATGCTTTGAAGTAAGCTATAACTTCTCTGAATAATGTTGATAAATGCATAAAACACATAGGATTACAAAGAAGACTAATTATTGAAATACAGTTCTGTCCTTAGTACCTCTCTTCCCCCAATATCTACATATTTAGTCTATCTCCTTGTAGATTGTTTCATCTTTGGGTCCCCAGAATCCAGTGCAGACTTGGCACACTCAGATTTTTGTTGTTGCTTATTAGAAGATGAAAATCATACTTTTATTATATGATCACATTACCTTTTTTTAAAACCTGAATCTTGATTTATTTAGGTTCTTCCTTCTCAATTTCCTTTTAATTTTGTGAAATTTAATTTTTTAATATTTTTATAAAATACCATTAACACTAGTATCTTTTTCCAACTATTTAGGTTTTCAGGAGCACCTGAGAACAGGGAAGGATTTGGCTTGATTAAAAGTTTCAGAGCAAAAGACTACCATTAGTTTTATATTGATTTCACATTTCTATTATGTGACTCAGAAAACCATCATGGTTAACTCATTGTTTCAGTCAAAGAGATTTTTAAGTGCACTTAAAGAGAAAACTGAAGCCTACCGAAGTTTAGTCATGCAATGGTGGATGGAACCTAGCAATAGATGGATATTATATGTCATTAACTTCTTTGACTTCTCCCTTCAAAATAATACAGACTTTGGAAAATGATGGTAGTGGAACATACTGTTTTCTTTGAACATTTAGGATTTTTTTTTACTTTAGGAAATTCTTTATTCATACTGGCTCTCTCAGATCTTCACTGAGATGCAGTGGTCATCAGCCTGAGCTACCTGTATGGTTCACAGGGCTCACCAAGAAACTGAAAGCAGCAACATGAATAGTGTCCTTAAATACGTATTTTGAATCTCATGTCTAATTCTACTTTGGCCCATAGAATTTGAAGCTTTTGACAAAGCTTGAGTTTGTTTTGTTTTTACATAGATTGAGTTATGTATTCCTTTTATGTATCTATAACTTATCTATTTAAAAATAATAATAGTAAAAGAACTTACTTCCAGTGTTTTGTGACTTAAAAGTATTGGGTTGTCTGTTCTGTGTCTAGGCCAAAACAACTTCATGAAATCCCAGCCTTTTACTGTCCTGACAAAAACAAGGTGAATTTCATTCCTAAAAGCGGCTCTGCTTTCTGCCTCGTCAGCATCCTCAAGCCACTCCTTCCCACACCAGATCTGACCCTCAAGGGCTCTGGCCACAGTCTGACAGTCACCACTGGCATGACAACCACTCTGCTGCAGCCTATTGCTGTGGCCTCCCTGTCTACAAACCCAGAGCAAGACCGAGTCTCTCGAGGAACAAGTACAGTCATGCCATCAGCCTCTCTACTGTCACCACCAGAACCAATTGAGGAAGCTGAAGGATAGGTGTCAGTGCTGCGTAGTCTGTGTTCCCTCAGATCTCTTGACTGTGTGGCATCGTGCACTCCCAGTTGGCTGTGACCTACTCCAGCTTTCCACAGTGACACATCCCAATGCAGCTTCTGGAAGCAAGCAGCTCCCCTGATGGCTCTGCTCGCTTATGAAGGCCAGCCCTCAGTGCTTGGCCTACTTTTTCCTAAAGCACTGGTTGAAATAAGAAAGGTCTCATTCTTTACTTTTGGTGGGCTGATATCACATTGTTTTTGGTTTTTAAATTAAACTTCTTTAGAAACAAAAACACAAAAAACTGACCCCTACAAACATGATTCCTGGAGACGTGAATGATGCTGCAAGAACCATCTTTTATATGAAAATGACTATTTTATACCAGTGTTACATTTTCTGAAACGTAGCAAACATGTTCAAAAGATTCTTTGGTGGCCTCTGTTTCTTGTTTCCCTTTCTAGATGTGTGCTTTTCTCAGCTTTGGGACCAAAGGGATTGTTGACATTTTCCCAGCAATCTTAATCTCATTACTGTGTTCTTCTCCCAAACAAGAATTGATAGGTAAATGCATTGAACAAGTATATATAAAAATAAATAAAAAGCAATATTAGTACATTCTGTGATTTATGTTTTCTGATGTCAGAGGTTTGTGCTTTGAGTAAAATATTTGTAAAACTGCTGTTTTCTTCACTACTCTTGTATATGTTTCACCATGTGGTCAGACAAATTGTAGTCCAGAGACAAGTGCTTATTATGTTCTCACCCATCATTGGAAGTTGGTTTAAAAGTCAGTGAGCCAAAGGAAGCTACCCAGTATTGATTGCTAGCTAGGAGTAAGGAGACCCTTCGGTTTTCTGCACAATATTTGTCACATGATCTCCCTTTACCACAGGTGACATTCTACCTTTAATCATCACTGTATCATAGTCCCAAGAGATCCTAAAATGACTGTGCATGGATTTCCTCCTTTGCTTTTGTGTTGTTGTCGTCTTGTGGATTTGGTCAGGGTTTGTAGTTTGCCAGGAGTGTAATCCATTGAATAGAAATCTGTTGTCACAGAATCTTGCGACTGACGTTTTCTTTATGGTAGTTGGCACTGAGATGTTACCTACAGGTTTTGCTAGTTGTCTGTCCAACATTCCACACAGTGGGGAAAACAGGCAAAGGAGAGATTTGGAGCATAAACAACAGGAACCTTTGAAAAATCCATCCAGCTTTGAATTTAAGCTTCTAATATAGTCACTGCCAATATCACATGTCAACGTATTTCATGTCTGGATATGTGGCACTAGAATTAAGGAACAGCTCTTTTAAAAAGTGGGTTTCAACAAACTGTTGATAAAAAGCATCCTTCTAAGGTCTTCATATACTACGTTATGATGCAATAATATAATGTTCTTATACATATTAAAGGTATAAAAATTTAAATACTTGTAAAAGGAATACAGTTTAGAGGGTTACTATGTCAGTTTATCCAGACATATCCCATCAGAGAGAACCTAGTGGTAGCAATAAATCTTCTGAAAAGACTTCTTATTCTCATGCACCTTTAAAACACCTAAGTAATATAAAACATGCCCTGTTAAAGTTAAAATGGAGATGTATTTAGGGAAGTTAGATAAATTCAAACATAGAAGTCTGTCAGGTTAGTTGGTGAGACCAGTGAATTTTGGTACCATTTTTGTCCAAAATTAATTTACTTGGAATTAGTGCATGTGGCTCCTAATCAGTAAAAGCCCAGTTATTCAGGATCTAAATATTCTGGTTGGTTTATTGAGAACCTTGATTCTTTGCCTTTGTCTTGACCATTTCACCACAGAGAACTGGTCTATCAGAAGTACAGAAAGGTAAAACTGAAGTTGAGTGAGTTATTTTTATTATTATTTTTTTATCCTCACCCGAGGACATTTTTGCATGTATCTTCATAGAGCGGGAAGGAGAGAGGGAGGAAGAGAGAGAGAGAGAGAGAAACATCAATGTGAGAGAGATACATGGAGTGGTTTCCACCCACACAACTCCAACCCAGGGCCGGGAACAAACTGCAACCGAGGTACATGCCCTTAGCGGGAACCAAACCCGGCCCTCTCCGGTCTGTGGGCCAACGCCCTTACCACTGAGCCAAAGTAGCCAGGGCTGGGTGAGTTAGTTTAATAGGTAGGAAGAGGAAGTTACAAATAAGGTTTAAAAAAAACCTCCGTTTTTGGATTACCTAAATTCTGTTAAATCCATGTTTTGTTTTTTTTGTTTGTTTTTTTTTGCCTCACACTTAACTTTCTTCTATCTCCATCCCTAAAAGTTACATGGTTATTTTATAACTAGAATGTCACGTTGTAAAGTTTTTCCTTTTACTCTGTTGTGCATGTTTGTCTAATTCACATTTTTCTGTAGTTTCAATATCCTTAATCTAAAGTAATTTAAAATAGGAATGGGAGAACAAGTTTAAGATTTATTATTTACATAGTCTTATAAATGGAACTTGTAATTTGGTTGTGAGGAGAATTTGAATTTGTAGGAAAATGAATTATATGGCAACCAAGCATATCCCTTGGGATTGGGAGAAATAGAGCCTGGGATTTGAAGAAGAAAAAGGTACAAGGTACAAACAACTCTTTACTGCTGGTGCCAAAGGGCTAACTTTTAAACATATGAGCTTTATCACAGTCTTAAAAAATATTAACCATAGGTCCATTCAGCTTTATTTAACCCTTATTTCACAGGAGGTTGATTTTCTTTTTTTAATGAGTCTCAATGAACACATGATACTATTTTCTAAAATTACATTCCATAATTATTGGTTTTCTATAGCAAACTATATAGGAAGTAAGTAAATTAAAATGACTTTAATGGGAATGTAACTTTAAAAATAACTAATTTTAAATTTGTCTCCATTGAAGTAAAAGAAATAGGTGGCATTGTATATTTGGGCAAAAGGAGCTATTCTATGGTTATTCACTTTGTCAGTCTTAAGTTATTTTTTTACCCTTAAAGAATTTGTGATAAAAACAAGTAACTTTACTGGTTTTGATCATGACCAAGTCTATTGCTTGTGGCTTTTGTGAGCAATTATGTTTTAAAAAATAACCTGTTTCTCCTTTTTGGTTAATGTGAGCATGGATGCCAAAACTATTTTTGATTTAGAGTCTTCATTTTATTTAAAATATTTCTTACACTTATGACAAACCAAATCAGCCTTTTAGAAGGTGCTATTGCTACCTGTGGAATAACTGGCAACAAGACAGGCCTTTCCTTTTAATGGTTGGCTTTACTCGAGGGTATAAAAAATAGCAGAATTTATAGCCTTGTGTATATCCAAGATTAGGACTGGGTTGTCAAGATTTTCTTTTGTTAAAGGAAATAAAGGAAAAATTGCCACTACTGAATTTACTGTATTATTCTAAACTTAAGATTCATTCCTTAATGCTTGGACCAGTGGAATGAACCGGACCAGTGGAAGTGCTGAATTTGCATTAAGCTAAGAATACTTAACTCCGCACTTTAAGGTTTAAGTTTTACTCTGCCTAAGTTAATGATAAGCAGAGCAGCCCTGAACAATACTTTGTTTATACAATCCTGTTGAAAAATATAATTTATGTTTTTTTAAGGTCTATATCTTTCATCTCTGTTAAAGCTGTGTAAATCTTTTTTAAATGCAATTTTTTAAAATTTTGTTTTTCTAATAAAATTCTCCCAAAAAACCAGCATTTCCGATGGTGATAAATATTGTTACTATGTACTTATGTATTCTCTGTATCTGAACACTTGTTGCTGCCTCACAAGAAAATAGAACTTCTATGTTAAAAATAAAGTCTGTTCTTCTTGAGAGTTTTTTCCTGTGTACTTTTATGATTATTGCCTCAAATTAGATTTTCTTTTACTACACTTCTAGCCTGAATTAACTTTAGTGTAAGCAAGTACATACACTAAAGGATATACATATTTACAAGTAAATCAGTGCTTTACAGTTTAAGAGATTTAGCTGAGGCACTTAATTTTATTCTGAAATGCATGTAAGAGATGTTTTTTGTTTTTGTTTTTTCCCCTTTTGCTTTGGTAATTCACGCTTGCTAAACCAGCCTAATCCTTACTTTGTGACAGTGGTTTAGGCAGAATTTAGTCTGTGTGCACACAATAGGAGTAGTCGGATATGCCCCAGTGAGGACTGTATGCATTACCACTTAGAAAACAGGAATACCTTTTTTTTTAATCCTCACCCGAGGACATTTTTCCATTTTTTGTTCAGATAGAGTGGGAGGGAGGGAGAAAGAGAGAGAGAGAGAGAGAGAAACATCGACGTGAAAGGGACACATTGAGTGGCTGCCACCCGCACTACCAACCAGGGCCGGGGACAAACTGCAACCGAAGTACGTGCCCTTAGCGGGAACCAAACCCGGGTCTCTCTGGACCGCAGGCTGACACTTTAACCGCTGAGCCAAACTGGCCAGGGCAGAAAACAGGAATATCTTTTAAGTGACGTTTAAAGTGTCACCATGTGGGCAGAGGAACTAAATAGACACCTCTCCAGACAGGACATACAAATGGCCAAGAGACATATGAAGAAATGCTCAACCTCACTAATCACAGAGATGCAAATTAAAACAACAATGAGGTATCACCTCACACCTGTCAGAATGGCTGCCATCAACAAATCATCAAACAACGAGTGTTGGCAGGGTGTGGAGAAAAGGGGACTCCAGTACACTGCTGGTGGGAATGTAGACTGGTGCAGCCACAATGGAAAACAATATGGTGTTACCTCAAAAAATTAAAAATTGAACTCCCATTTGACCCAGTGATCCCACTGCTAGGAATATACCCTAAGAAGCCTGAAACCAATCAGAAAGAATATATGTACCCCCATGTTCATAGCAGCACTATTTACAATAGCTAAGATCTGGAAACAGCCCAAGTGTCCATCAGTAGACGAATGGATAAAAAAGATGTACATATACACAATGGAGTACTATGCAGCTGTAAGAAAGAAAGATCTCTTATACTTTGAGACGACATGGGGGGACCTGGAAAGTATTATCCTAAATGAAACAAGTCAAACAGAGAAAGACAAGTATCATCTGATCTCACTTATTTGTGGTATGTGAACATAACAGTCTGAGGAATGGGGTAGTCCCAGAGACATGGAAGTGGGGTACAGACTGACAATCCCCAGAAGACGGGGTGGTGGGGGAGAGATAAACCACAGAACTTATATGCATGTGTGCATGAACAATGGACATGGACAACAAAGCTGAGGACGGGGGGGGGGGAACAGTGGGGGGGGAGGAAGGAGAAACATCTGTAACAAAAATTAATTATAATAATAAAAAAAAAGATTTATAAAGGACAAAAATTGTCATCATGGCCTGGCTGGTGTGGCTCAGTGGATTGAGCTCAGAACCATGGACTGAGAGGTCCCAGTTTGATTCCTGGTCAGGGCACATGCCCGGGTTTCCAGCTCAATCCCCAATAGGAGGCATGCAGGAGGCAGCCGATCGATGTTTCTATCTCTCTCCCTTCCTCTCTCTTTAAAAATAAAATAGCCCTGGCCAGTTTGGCTCAGCGGTTAGAGCGTCTGCCTGCGGTCCAGAGAGACCCAGGTTCGGTTCCCGCTAAGGGCACGTACCTCGGTTGCAGTTTGTCCCTGGCCCTGGTTGGTCGTGCGGGTGGCAGCCACTCGATGTGTCCCTTCACGTCGATGTTTCCCTCTCTCTCTCTTCCTCTCTCTCCCTCCCACTCTGTCTGTACAAAACATGGAAAAATGTCCTCGGATGAGGATTAAAAAAAAAAAAAAAAAAAAAGCCCTGGTTGGTTTGGCTCAGCGGTTAGAGCATCGGCCTGCGGTCCGGAGAGACCCTGGTTCGGTTCCCGCTAAGGGCATGTACCTCGGTTGCAGTTTGTCCCCGGCCCTGGTTGGTCGTGCGGGAGGCAGCCACTCGATGTGTCTCTTTCACGTCGATGTTTCTCTCTCTCTCTCTTCCTCTCTCTCCTTCCCACTCTATCTGTGCAAAAAATGGAAAAATGTCCTCGGGTGAGGATAAAAACAAAACAAAACAATAAAAATAAAATAAAATGTCACCATTGCTGCCAATCATAAAAAGTGGTCACAAAATTACTTTGAAAAAATTATTTTTGGCCCTGGCAGGTTTGGCTTCAGTGGTTAGAATGTCAACCTGCAGACCAAAGAGTCCCGGGTTTGATTCTGGCCAAGGGCACGTACGTCAGTTGCAGTTTGTCCCCGGCTCCGTTTGGGGTTGTGCAGGTGGCAACCAATTGATGTGTCTCTCTCACGGCAATGTTTCTCTGTCTCTCTCTCTCTGGCTCTCTCTCTCTGGCTTTCTCTCTCTTTCTCCCCCTCCCTCCCTCCCACTCTGTCGGAAGATAAATGTAAAAATATCCTCGGGTGAGGATTAAAATTATATATATTTTTTGGTGGAAAAAGCCAGAATTTGGGGATAACTAAAGTATATATATTTATCTTATATTTAACATAACATCAAATACAGAGAATCTCAAACTGGCTCAAGTATACTCCCATTTTTCTCAGTCTTTTCCTTCCACCTTTAAAAATTGAAAGGAACAAATTTATATCTCAAGCTATATGTTCCTTCTAGTCCATCTATTAGATTTTCTTTTTGCTTTGATTAGTATTAAATATACAAAAGCTTATATGTCTATGATTAGTCTTTCCTTTCAATTGCTCTTATTTTTATTTTTTTAATTTTTATTTATTTTTAAATTATCACCCAAGGATATATTTTTCCATTTATGCTTAGATAGAGTGGAGGTGGGGAGGGAGCGAGAGAAACATCGATGTGAGAGGGACACATTGATTGGTTGCCTCCTGCACGACCCCAACCAGGGCCGGGAATGAACCGCAACCAATGTACGTGCCCTTGGCTGGAATCGAACCTGCAACTCTCTGGTCTGCAGGCCGACGCTCTAACCGCT